GGCCTGGGTCTGCAGCCGCTGCCCGTGTCGGCGCGTCACCTATTCACAGCGTTTCACGGGGTTCTGTGAAGCAGCTTCGGCGTTTGCCGGACAAATCCGGGCAACTGCGCTGCTGCTTTAAACTTTGCAATAAGTTTTGTCCGAAAAGTCTATAAAGCAAACAGCTGCTGGGTTAATTAAGAAATACCTGAGGGAAGCCAGTCGATTGCTAATGGTGTATTTGATTCAAGCGTGGTGGTGGTGGTCTTTTACATGAATACCAACATATATTCCACAGTTAAGAACCTCTGAATAAAAAGGTTTGGGCAACACCTTCTCTTTCTCAAACTAATTGCCTCAGTTCTGAACTGAATGTTGCTTGGCCTGCACTGAGAGGAAAAAAAAGATGTCATGAACACAGAATGACAGGTCTGAAGAATTTGCTTTTACAGTATTTAACTTGAAGAGGAACTGTTCAAGCTAATCGGAGCTGCAGCCTGATGACTGCAGCCGGGAGCTGCGAGCAGCCAACCTCATCTGAGGCTGAGCGCGGCGGAGAGGAGCTGAGCCTGCGAGGCGGAGGTGGCCCCTCCGAGCGGCGGGCGTGCGAGGCAGGTTCTGGAACCCGCAGCAGTGACATGGAGTGGTTGTGTTGTGGATGGCGCTCAGGCTGCTCAAAGGGAACTGAAGCAAATGAGGAGCCTGCGAAGCCAGGCAGCGCGCGTCTGGGTGTTTAGTGAATCCTTTTAAAGCACAAACTTGACTTTGGTTGCTTTGTTTGATCTCCTCCTTTCTCTTCCGCTGGTAGTGTTGCGAGTTAGTTTCTGTGATCTTCATTCAGGAAGCATCAATAACGTTTAATTTTGAGTTCCTGAGGACAATCTAGACTTTCTGAAGGTGCCTTTTCACTGCCAGGACAGGGAACTTGAGCTCCTAACCAGGTGTTCTGAAACGCTGTAGTCAGACGCTTGAAAGCAGACAGCAGCTTTTGTCTCAGGATCTTTGGGGTTGCCTGAAAAATAAGGTACAGAACAGGATTGCGTTAGAAGTCCTGAAGCTTTCGAGAGGATTAGCTGACTTGCTTTGGCTGTCAGCGTTGCATTTTAGACTTAACTGAAGTGTGCACGTGGTGATTGTGAATTTGTTCCTTCACAGCGTGCATGGTGGAATTCTGTTTTCCTTGACTATCTTCTAGCTCAAAAAACTTGCTGCAGTGAGGGAATGGTAATTAGCTCGTGCTATTTTTCATGTATTAATGTTTGGGGTAGGTCTTGTTTTTCGCTTGCAGCCAGGGCCAGCATGCTGTTAACAATCGATAATTAAAGTGCATCGGGAGTATTATTAAATGCATTGTGAAAAAAGTAATTGATAATGGCTTGCTGTGCCTGCTTTGGGTTTCAGTCAGTTGGGTGCGTGTTCTTAGTTCAATATATTAGTAATTTACTGGGAAAATTGAAATCTGTGCGTTTCAGGTGGGTGAAATGCTGCCCTAATTGTTGCTAGTGATGTTTCCTAGCTAGAGAACCAGGACCGCATGAAGCACTGAGTATTGCTGGCCCTCTTTTTTAGCAGGTAGGCTTCCTGCTTCCCTCTAGGTGACAAAGCCCCCAGATTGTCCCTGTACACACAGAAGCGATGGACGCCATTGACGCAGGTGAGGGTGGTACCATCTTCATGCAGCACAACTCTGCGTTTGCTTTACCGAGGGATAAGGGAGGCTCCCCTAGTTCTGGGGTGCTCGTACTGGCTAATGAAAAGAACCGTGCTGCTTCCATTCCAGTGGAAGTAACTCTCTTGTGACCATTAAAGTTAATGTGTGCTTTGAGAATTACCTGGGACGTTCAGAGTACTGAACTGCTGTTACGTGATATCCTGCAGTCAGTTCCAAAGGAGTTCTGCGCGTTGCTTTTGGTGTGACACCAGCCTTCTCTCTTTTTTGGTTTGCTTCACAGCCTGGACAAGCTTTGAAAAGGTGACAGCTAACTACGCTGGCGCGTGTCCGAGTGCACTGCAGATGCGTATTTCCCTACCTGTCATGTCCCCCAGCCAGCACAAGGCTTCTCTTTGCCAGCCTCCCGTAGGTTTGCTGACCTTTGGTTTTTTTCCCTCTGCTTACGTTTCCACTTCTGGAAAATGTTTAGATTCTCACCTCACAAGTTTCATTAAATTCTCTTCTAGATTTTTCACTTAGATTCCCTTTTAGAGAGTCAGTCTGCTCTGGGAAATCTGTCACAAGCTCAGTGTTAATATTTTGGTTGCAGGATAATTTGAATTAATATTAAAATAGAATGCTTTAAAAGAAACTCTGAATACTTTAATTTTTGTTGGCTTAATTGAATCTGTTAAATGTAATTTAGACTGTTACAATAAGAAAAATGTTCTTTGCCGTCTTTTCAAAATGAGATGGATGCTTCGATAGTCAATTTTAAGGAATTGCCAGAGGAGAATCTTTGATCCACATTTGCCAAAAGTAATGTAAACTAGAGGGAGGCTCTGCTGAGGAGGACAGCTTTGTCAGCTCATGGATACCAGCGAGTGTTCCTAACCTTTGTAACTCTGTAAAGCTTTAACCTCATCATGAAAGTTCCCGATAGCAGCTGGGAGGATTGTTCTGCAGCCAATCAAATGGGCTCGGTATTTGTTAGCCTCAGTTAAATAAGCAAGAATTGATATTTTGGCCTTCTCTTCAGAAGAGCCGCTTGCCAGAATGGAGCGGTGCTGCTCCTGGAGCATAGCAGACTGTATTTTCAAAAAGCTTATGTAAATTAGGGACTTTTTATCCTCTCGGAGTCCATGGTGTCTTGCTATTAAGATGCATGACATCAGGACTGGGTCTTACAGAATTGTATTGCGTGTCATTAAGTGTTTCTAGAACAAAGAGGAAGTAGCCCATGCTCTGTTTCAGGG